AAAAAAAAAAAAAGAGGATTGCTTGAGCCCAGGACTTTGAGGTTGCTGTGAGCTAGGCACTCTAGCCCAGGCAACAGTGAGATACTGTCTCAAAAGAAAAAGTAAAAAAAAATTATGTAGTTGTGTCCTGGCCTAAGAAAAGGTATGATTCTTAAGGGAGATCACATTTTTATTTCATTTGAGAACTTTGGTTCTCACCACCGTTCTCCCCTTGGCAGCTAAAGCAGTTGACGGATACGTGAAGCCACAGATCAAGCAAGTGGTCCCTGAGTAAGTGTCTGGGGCCTGGCTCTGGCTCTCCTCCCACCTGTCTTCTCCTCCCCAGACACTGCCATCCCTCCTGTTCCTGTACCCCCAAATTCCGATCCCCATCCCCCGGGAAAGCTGATTCAGCCCCGGGGAGGGACCTGGGCTTGGTTGTGCTATGGCCGGTACCCAGGGCCCAGTTCTGCAGTCAGAGCCCCAGGGCCGAGTGGGACACTACATCCTTCTATATACCCTGAGAAAGACATAAAGATGCCCCCGGAGCTCCTCCCCAGGTCAGCCGCACCCCTGGCTTCCCTGGTGGCTGAGGCTCTGTCCTGCTTCCTCCTGCAGGTTTGTGAACGTGTCCGCGGACGCCGGGGCCAGCACAACATACATGGACCAGGCGCCCTCCCCATCTGTGTGCCCCCAGGCTCACTATAACATGTACCCACCGAAGTAGGTGGTGTTTTCATGGGGGTCCGCAGGGGAGGAGCTGGGGATCTCATCCCAGGCTGGCCCCCTGCAGGGCTGGGGGTGGGGGTGCAAAGGAATCCAGAGCTCCTCTAGGTCTGAGGCCGCCCAGCCTAGGCCCAGGCTCTAGCCGTGAGAGGAAGAGATTGGACCAGAAGATTTTGGTAGTTTAGAGTGGGGTTGGGCAAATGCCATCTCAAAATGGAGAATTTTCTTGCTACGTGTAAGGACTGCATGGGGTTTCGATGTGTCTGGACGGGCAGTGTCAGAGGCCGCTGGGGTGAGTGTTCTAGTCTGAGTCTCTCTGTAGTGCCAGCGAGCAAAGCGTTCAGATGAGTGGTTCTCTTCCCGTGGCCCTACGCCGGGCACGACAGGCTGGTGTAGGCCGCCCCCCCGGTGGGCTGTGGCTTGGGGTGGTCTCCAACAACCTTTCCCTCATCTCCGTTCTTTCCCTCCCAAGCCCTGACTCAGTCCTGGAGACCGATGGGGACTTCGATCTGGAAGACACCATGGACGTGGCGCGGCGCGTGGAGGAGCTCCTCGGCCGCCCGATGGACAGTCAGTGGATCCCGCATGCGCAGTCGTGACCCCTCAGCCTCGCCATCTTCAGCTTCTTCGTCCTCACCAGAGGAGTCACTCTTGTGGATGTTCTAATTCCATGAATCGCTTCTCTTTGGAAACAATACTCATAATGTGAAGTGTTATTACTAGTTGTGACTTTAGTGTTTCTGTGCATGGTGGCACCAGTGAAGGGAGCGTGAGTGTGCGTGTGTGCATGTGTGTGTGTGTGTGTGTGTGTGTGTTTGCACGTTGTGGTGTTCCTCCCTCTTGCTGTCTTGAGTTTAGCAGGGGCCACGAACGGAGGCTGTGCTTATTTTTACCTTGTGCAAAAAGGCAGTTAGTTCCATGAACCCTGGAACTTGGCCAGGGGTCTTAGGGGTGGCTGAACTTTGACATGTGACTGTTCAAGTAAGAGAAGAACAAAGGGAGGAGAGAGCCCCCCTCCCTAGTGTTTGTCACCCTGTCTGCCAAGCTCGTGATACGTAACCGTAATCGTCTCTGCTATTCTTCTGAAATGTGGCTAACTGCCTTTTGACAGAGAAAGCCGGTCCTCCTTCCATCCCTGCCCGCCGCCCCTCTGCTCTTGGACAGGGAGGGGAAGAGGGGCAACTTACAAAGGCTGCCAGGGCAAGGGAAGTCACAAGTTTCCAGATGGGTGGTGGCTTTTTACCTATTACTCAACCCATCTTAACATTTTCTCTTGGTCCTCCCTTCCCCTCCTCCCCTCTGCCCCTGGAATTGCCACTCAGCTCCTATGCGGACACGTTTGGCAAAATAGAGGAAGGAAAAGAGGGTCACATACCTGAGAGCTTACAGTGTTGATGTGCTTTGTGTTTGGCCAGAGTGGAGTGCCCAGCCCTGACTAGCAGGCGCCGAGCGTGTGGCCTTGTTACCCAGGGGAGCCGCACACCCTTCCTCTGAGCCAGCACAGGCGCAACCCGGGGCTTTCTTAAGGCTTATTGATAATGGCTTTTTGCAAATGTTAAATGGTGTTTTTGTTTCTAAATTGGATCTTTTTTGTTTTCCCATCCCCACCCTAATTTGGCATCAAAATTCTCTCTTCCTGCATCCGTGCAGGGTCGTTCATACCCAGGTCTCCTCAGTTCCCTTCACTGTCCACGTGCGACGTCTTGAGGAGCAGGTGGCAGGAATGTGGTCTGAACAGAGGCCGGCTCGTCCAGCAGGAGCTCACCCTCCTGGCGGGTGCCCGTGTCAGGCCTTGGTAACATGGGGAAAGCAGTCAGCAGGTTTGCTGGGAGAGCTGATGAACTGTAAAAACAGAACAACAAAGCCTCAGTGTCATTTTGTTCCACAATTTCTTCTGTAGCTTTACACCAGAAGGAAGGAATGGGCTCTCTCTGGTGGTTGGGGGTGGTGGTAAGCAGGTGTAGCTTACAGACAAGGCCTATAAGGCCACCTCCGGTCCCCCTCTCCAAAAGAAGGGCATGACCACACCCAGGAGAGGATGGCCCGAAAAACCTTATTTTTATACATGTGAGTACATAGATATTTTTTTTACAAAAATAACTTCTGAATTTATCAGTGTTTTGCTGTTAAAGGAAAATATTCCTCTGTAGTAAATTATTTATTGGAAGATGACTTTTTAAAAGCTGCTGTTTGCCTTGGCTTGGTTTCATACACTGATTTATTTTTCTATGCCAGGCAGTAGAATCTCTCTGCCTCTGAGGAGCAGGCTGAGCCTTCCATGGATACCAGCACTGATGAAGGAGGCTGCTACGCCCCCTCCCTACCCCTCAAGATTTGATGAAAATGCCTACCACGGGACGGGCGCATTAGGGAAGGGTGCTAAGGGAAGCCTGGCTACTTGGGGACCCAGGCTCAAAGAGCCCTCCCTGCTGGTCGCTCAGAGATGCTTCACCAGCACCTGCCTCTGAGGTCACCCTCTTTGTTCCAGCCACCCTGGGGCGGAGGGGAGAGGGGGTTGACGCAATTTCAGGTTGCGATGGACCCAGCCTGGGGCCTGCTGAGGGCAGAGCAGTCCGGCCGGCCGTCCCTGGCTGCTCGGAGCTCGCTTCACAGTTGGCATCGGGTTGGATAGGAAGAGGGCTGAAGAGTGTGGCTTCCCTGAGCGTGGAGTTCCCCTGCTGGTACAGTGTCCAAGCTGTCCTCAGTTCTACTGAGACTGTGCCAAGAGATGGGGGAGATTTGCGACTGAAAGGTGCGCTCACTGTCTGTATGCGTTCTATTTTCTCTCTTCTCCCTGTTCCCGCAAACCACAAGAAGGGGCCATGGTGAGTCTAGACCCGCTCAGCCTCTCACCTGCTCCCAGACACACACGCGTGCCCTCAAATGTTTCAGCTCAGTGTGTGGTATGTGCAGGGTTTTGTAGGGGGTGGGGGGGAGACTAAAAGCAAATATAACTTAAAATGAAAGTATACTTTTTATAATTTTTCTTTTTAAAACTTTGTGAAATTACTTCAGATACATATTTTAGTGTCGAGGCAGATTAGTTATATAGCCATCCAAAAAGTATTATGTACAATTTGGGGCAGTCACAAAATTGTGTATGTTACAATAAAGGCTTCCTCTGAAGGGACAATATTGAGTCTGTTTTTATTTTTATTCATCACATGCTGAGGGAGGGTGGCTTTGATAGGGGAAAGTTTCTGGTCATCAGTGTGACCCTGAAAAAGGAAACTCGTTGGAAGTTGACTGTGTCATTAGCTCTGATGTCAGATGGGGGCATTTCATGCCTTCCTGCTCATGTCATGTTGTGAACATTAGAATGATAGTCTTCATCTTCTAGCCTCCTGACCTCTGATAGCTCATCCTTAAAATTCAGCACATTTAGAATGTATCCCTGAACCAGGCATTGTTTGTGGGATGAGAAATGGTTCCTGCCCTTAAGAGGGTCCCACCTGGCCAAAGGCAGCTGACACAACCAATTATCATAGGAAACTGGCTCACACTGCAAGAAAGGCATCCTAGGTCATGATGCAAAAGAATGTAGAGGAAGAACATGGACTGCTCCCACTGATTCTTAAAGAACAAATAGGCACTAAGAAAGGAGAAGGCGTTTGGCTAGAGGGCTAGACAGCCAAGGCCTAGAGACAGAGGGCAGTATGATGTGGTTGGAGTGCTTTGTGGTTCTCAAACATCAGTGTGTGTCAGAACCTCCCAGTGGAATCGCCTTGTCAAAGAGCAAGTTACTGGGCCCCACCCCGGAGTTTCTGAGTCAGTGGGTCTGGGGCAGAGCCCAGGAATTTGCATGTCTATCAAGTTCCCAGGTGATGCTAGTCTAGCGACCACACTTTGAGAAGGGCTCTGGTAGGTGAGGCTGGAAGGCAGACGGGAGAGACCACAGGGGCCCAGGCTGCAGAACAGAGAGCTCTAAATCTTTCCTCAAAGGAACTGACTTTATTTGCAAGAGAAGTTCAAGCTTAAGGATGCCCACAAAAACAGTGGAGGTTGTGTGAAAGGAAATTGGGAGGAGAATGAGAAGGTCGTTGGAGATAGAGGTTAAACTAGGCCTCCTAGTTTGCCAGAGAGAAGAGGGGAAGAGACAGCTGGGAGGAGCCCTCTTGGGGTCAAAATTAAACTCAAATGCTTGGCATATCCCTTCAAAGGAGCCTGAATTTGGTTGGATTAGTTTGTGGGGCAATTTATGCTCTAGGGCATTGTCGAAAAGCATGGAGCAATCAGCTAACAATTAGTGAGCTTAATGGCTGGATGTGGTCAAGGAAAGACTTAAAGAGAGCCCCTGAAACCATTGTCACCTAGGATGACTGTGAGTATACTCAAGGCTGCACTCCCCTGAAGAACAACATCTTCCCAAGAAAGAGCCTTCACACTGTGGGGAGTAGGGGGTAGACGAACTCACTAGAATAATTCAACCACTCACTGAACAAGTAAGCAAAATAACAGTAACAAGCCTGGGAGTTGGACTGGGGGAAGGAGGCAGTACCCAAATTGCTATTATACAATATGTTATTTTAAATGTCCAGAATTCATCAGCAAGTTATAAGACATTCAAAGAACTGGTTAAGTATGATCCATACACTGGGAAATAAAAGCAGGCAATCTAGCAACCAGATGTTGCATTTAACAGACAAAGACTTCAAAGTAGCCACTATATATATGTTCAAAGAACTAGGGAAACCATAATTAAAGAAATAAAAGAAGGTATGATGACAATGTCACATCAAATGGCTATCATTAAAGAGAATGAAATTATTAAAAAAGATGGAAATTCCGGAGTTGAAAACTACAATAACTGAAATGAAAAACTCACCAGAGGGTCTCAATAGATTTGAAAAGGCAGAAGAAAGAATTAGCAAACTTGAAGACAAATCGATAGGGGTTATGCAATTTTAAGAAAGAGAGGCCAGATGCAATGGCTCATACCTGTAATCCTAGCACTCTGGGAGGCCGAGGTGGGTGGATCGTTTGACCTCGGAAGTTCGAGACCAGCCTGAGCAAGAGCAAGACCCCATCTCTACTAAAAATAGAAAGAAATTAACTGGACAACTAAAAATATATAGAAAAAAATTAGCCAGGCATGATGGCACATGCCTGTAGTCCCAGCTACTTGGGAGGCTGAGGCAGAAGGATTACTTAAGCCCAGGAGTTTGAGGTTGCTGTGAACTAGGCTGATGCCACGGCACTCGAGCATGGGCAACAGAGTGAGAATTTGTCTCCAAAAAAGAAAGAACATTGTATGAGAATTAAAAAGTTTCCACGTGGCATGAAATTCTTCCGTGGAGATCAGGCCTGAGTGATCGGAGTCAATGATATTAAATATGTCCAGGTCGGATTCGTATCTGTACAGAGCTTTAGGCTGAACCTCTTTCACAGAGTTTTTCAATGTGGATATCCCAGAAGCTGGACATGTGATCAATATTTCCATCTTTGTCTCTGTTTACCAGATGCAAACTCAGGGCTCACCATGGTATGTTCAGCCCTAAAATGCTCTCTATGGGAAAAGCCCACTGGCCCAGAGAAAGTTTTCCTTGATTTTCTGTGGTTGGAAAGCATGAATGAGGTCAGTTTTTGGTGAAATCATTCTCTCTTTTTTAATATCCTGATGGCACTGATTTCCACTATATTCGCCCTTTGGTGAAGAGGCTTTAGGGACATTGCCCTGGTTACTTGGTATTGGAAAAATTGAAGTGATGTGCCAGAACACGGTTTGATGTAAGCTCCTCAATTGCTTCCTTCTTCATAATAATTAGAAGCAGAAAATACAGTAACAACCTTCCCATCGTGGCAGATTTCGCACCTTCTGGGCTTATGAGACCTAATGAGCAACTTTCCCTGGTATTTACTAAGAATCTTGGAAGTAATAGTCCAAAATTGCAGCCCCCTCCTCAACTTGTATTTTGATAACAGCCTTTTTTGTCTCTTGGATAACCCCACAGAATATCAGTAACCTGTTCCCATTCATGCTTCAATACATGTTCAGAAAGGGAGCAATTTGCTTTGAGTCTTTTGTACACAGTAACAGTGACACCTACTTTATTTTGCTTCTATTCAGTGGTGTGGTCTCCATTTACTCCCATTGGTGACATCAACACAAATTTTATATTGTTTCTTTCAACAGGGATCATTAGGATCTCTATGTCATTGTTTCCTCGATCTACAAACTCACTGTTAAAAATATA